TGTCCATCTTTCCACAAAATTTCCCATGTTTTTCTTGTTAATTTGCCATGATTTTGTCATATAGTCACTGTGTTATTCATCTGTTACCATCTAGCCATGGAAAGTTATGACCAACCTAGATAGCATATTAAAAAGCAAAGACATTACTCTGCCAACAAAGGTCCGTCTAGTCAAGGCTATGGTTTTTCCAGTGGTCATGTATGGATGTGAGAGTTGGACTGTGAGGAAAGCTGAGTGCGGAAAAATTGATGCTTTTGAACTGTGGTGTTAGAGAAGACTCTTGAGAGTCCCTTGGACTGCAAGGAGATCCAACCAGTCCATCCTAAAGGAGATCAGTCCTGGGTGTTCATTGGAAGGACTGATGCTGAAGCTGAAACTCCAGTACTTTGGCCACTTCATTTGAAGAGTTGACTCATTGGAAAAGACCCTGCTGCTGGGAGGGACTGGGGGCAGGAGGAGAAGGGGACGACAGAGGATGAGATGGCTGGATGGCTTCACCGACTCGATGGACAGGAGTTTGAGTAAACTCTGGGAGTTTGTGATGGACAGGGAGGCCTGGAGTGCTGCGGTCCATGGGGTCGCAAAGAGTCAGACACAACTGAGCAACTGAATTGAGCTGAACTGAACCACGGAAAAGATAATTCTTTCCCAGCCTTTTTCTTTCTTTTCTTTCCCAGTTTTTTAAACTTTTGATAGCCTTGTCTATGAAATTAATTGAATAAAACTCCTTAATTTCTTAAAAAAGATTGGTTTAATTATTTTTGTCTGTGCTAAAAAAATTAAATCAAAAATCTTAAAAAAAAATAAGGAGTTTTGCTCAATTAACTTCATAGACAAGGCTGTCAGAAGGCTTTTGGCTGCCCTGGGCTTCCCTGGTGGCTCCGGTGGCAAAGCGTCTGCCAGCAGTGCAGGAGACCCCGGTTCGATCCCTGCGTCGGGAAGATCCCCTGGAGAAGGAAATGGCAACCACTTCAGTATTCACGCCTGGAAATTCCATGGACGGAGGAGCGTGGAGGGCTACAGTCCATGGGGTCGCAAAGAGTCAGACACGACTGAGCGGCTTCACTTTCTTTGGCCGTGCTGGGTCTTTGCTGTTGCTCACAGGCTTTCTCTAATCGCGGCGAGCAAGGGGCTACCCTGTCACGGTAGAAGGGCTTCCCATTGCAGTGACTTCTCTTGCTGTGGAGCACGGGCTCTAGGCATGCAGCCTCAGTAGCTACGTGGTGCTGGCTTCGATGCCCTGCTGCACGTGGAATCTTCCCGGGCCAGGGATCGACCTGCACCTCCTGCACTGGCAGGCAGATCCTTAACCTCTAGACCACCAGGGAAGCCCCCAATTAATTTGTACAATGATGAAGCTGAAGCTCCAATATTTTGGCCACCTGATGAGAAGAGCCGACTCATTAGAAAAGACCCTGATGCTGGGAAAGATTGAAGGCAGGAGGAGAAGGGGACGACAGAGGATGAGATGGTTGGATGGCATCACCTTCTCAATGGACATGAGTTTGGGAAAACTCCCGGAATTGGTGATGGACAGGGAGGCCTGGTGTGCTGCAGTCCATGGGGTTGCAAAGAGTCGGACATGACTGAGCAACTGAACTGAACTGAACTGAATTGAAATCTTAGAAACTTACAGACTTCTTTTCACCCCCATTTCTTCTGTAAAATCGTTCAAGTTTTCTGCCTACTATCCTACTATCCTGAAATGTTCATCTTTTTCTTACTGATTTTAGGGATCCTTGATAAATTATGGATCCTAATCCCTCTAAGGGTGTTAACTCCCTAACATTTCTTAAGGTATTTCGTATAGGCTGAGCCCAGGGTATGCTTAAGGTTGGAAGCCAGGATCTCTCCACTAAAGCTGGAAGTGACCTCTGGGGTGGCTAAGGGTATAGGGGAAGCACTGGCAGCATTTACTGTACCCACTGATTAGTTTCCTAGGGTCACCATAACAAAGTGCCAGAAACTGAGTGGCTTAAAACAATGGACATGCATCCCTTCGCACTGCTGGAGGCTAGAAGTCCAAACTCAAGGTGTCAGCAGTGTTGGTTCCTTTGAGGGCTAGGAGGAAGAATCCGTTCCATGCCTCTCTCCCACCTTCTGGTGATGGCCAGCAATCCCTAGCCTGTAGGAGCATTACCCCAATCTCTGTCTCCATCTATATGCAGTACTCTCCATGTGTCTGTGTATCTTCACATGATCAGCTTCTCACAAGCAGAGCAGTCGTTTTAAGACTTCCCTAAATTGGCCCAGCGATTTAAGAATACAGCACTCAGTGCAGGGGATTCACGGGTTCGATCCCCGGTCCAGGGAAATTCCACCTGCCACAGAGCAACAAGGCCTGTGCAGCGGAACCACTGAGCCTGCGCTCTCGAGCCTGTGACGTTCAGCGGGAGAAGCCACCGCAGTGAGAAGCCCTCGCACCGCAGCTGGCGGAGTGGCCCCCGCTCTCCACCACTGGAGAGAGCTTGCTCACAGCAGCAAAGACCCGGCGCAGCCAAAAATAAATAAACAAACACAATTTGAAAAAAGAACGCCAGTCATTTTGGATTAGGAGTCCACCCTACTCCGGGACGGCCTTGCTGTGGTTTAGTTGCTAAGTCGTGTCCGACTCATTGCAGCCCCATGGACTGCAGCACGCCAGGCCTCCCTGTCCATCACCAAGTTACGGACTTTACCCAAACTCATGCCCATTGAGTCGTGATGCCATCCAAACATCTCATCTTCTGTCGTCCCCCTCTCCTCCCACCTTCAATCTTTCCCAGCATCAGGGTCTTTTCAAATGAGTCAGCTCTTCACATCAGGTGGCCAAAGTATTGGAGTTTCAGCTTCAGCATCAGTCCTTCCAGTGAATATTCAGGACTGATTTCCTTTAGGATGGACTGGTTGGATCTCCTTGCTGTCCAAGGGACTCTCAAGAGTCTTCTCCAACACCACAGTTCAAAAGCATCAATTCTTAAGCACTTTCTTTTTAGTCCAACTCTCACATTCATACATGACTACTGGAAAAATCATAGCTTTGACTAGACGGACCTTTGTTGGCAAACTAATGTCTCTACTTTTTAAAATGCTGTCTAGGTTGGTCATAGCTTTTCTTCCAAGTACAGTGGTTAGGACTCAGCATTTTCATTGCCAGGGCCCTGGGTTCGATCTCTGGTTGGGGAGCTAAGGTCCTGCAACCCACGTGGCACAGTCAAAATATATATTGTTTATCTATAACTTAACTCTAAGCAAATTTCCAATCCTACTCTCCCCCTCTAACCAGTTGATCATCCCAAGCCCCTTCTATAAGGAATTCTAGAACCACTGTTGACTCTCAAGCTCCACACAGCTGGGTATGCCATGGTCACTGTCCCCGTTTATGACCATGGGTAGTTAGTGAGTTTTGAAGGCGCCAAGGGCCATAAGTAACCTGGAGGTCATCCATGTTCTCTTGGAACTGTGGAGCCTCATAGTCCAGCCCCTGGCCTGGGTAGGGCCAAAAAGCTGAGCTGGGGCGAGCTGGGGTGAGTTAAGACAGGGCAGGGGACAGGAACAGGAATGCTCAGCGAGATCTCTGACAGGCCTGGCAGGCCAGCAGGGCACATGACTCTTTCCCAATTGGGACTCTACTTGGCCACCAAAAGCTTTAGAATTATTCCCATGTCAAGTGGGTGCACACTGTCCCAGAACAGCCTTTGCTTTCTTCCCTCAAGCCTTGAGCGAAGGGCCTTGGGGGTGCCGGGGCTGCACAGAGCTAGAGGGTAGGGGAGCCCTCCTGCTGCTTTCTCTGGGCCAGCCCGGCCTCAGATCCAGAAACCACTCTAGATGCAAAGGTGGATGTGTGGAAAGGGGGTGGGGGATCAGAGGAAGGGGAGGGAGGGGGAGGGAAGAGGAATCTCTGCAGCTGGGGGTCCTGAGTGTTCAGGAGGCTGAGCACTCCAGGCCCAGGACACAGAGATGCTGGGCCACAGAACCAGAGAGCGTGAAGATGCTGCCTCATTTCCCCCCCTCCCCTCTCCTCCGCTTCCCCTTTCCTTTCCCCACACCACCCGTCTAAGCTGAGAGAAGATGCAGATTCACTCCTGTTTGCTGGGGGTGTGGGGACACGTGATGCCTCTGGATGCCCCAAGTGCATTCTGCCCCTCCTGTGTCATCTTGATCAAATCACTTAAGGACAGAAACCCAGTTTGCATGGGTGTTCACATCATGACCTCATGGGATCCTGCAGCTATGCTCACCATAACACATTATATCTCATTCAATCCTCGTTACAACTCTACAAGATTCTGTTAAGCACCCACTTTACAGAGGAGAAAATGGAGACTTAGAGAGGTGGTGTTAACTTCTCAAGGTCACATGGCTAATAAGTAGCACAAATGGAACTCAACTCAACTCCAAAGTGTGAGCTCTTCTATAATCCCAGAATGGAGAAAAGAGATGATCACTAACTATCCTCACCGTACAGATGAAGAAACTGATTCAGAGAAGTCAAGTCACTGCCAATGATTGTACAAATGGGAAGTGGTGATGCCACGGTGCAAACTCATTTCTTTACCAGCAGCCCAATGTCTATGTTGCCAACAACAACAAAGTGAGGCATCCTAAGTAGATGATCTCAGAGAGTCTATCCAGCTGAAATCTTTTTACATTCTGGGTTGAGACAAAGAGGAATTGGAAGGAGGATGAGTGTAAAGAAGCAACTTGGTCTTATGGCTATGCCTCGCACTACCTGACTCAGGAAGCCAGTGGGGCTGCCCCAGCCCTGCCGTTTCAATCTCACCACACCCCTCATTGAAGGAGTCATTCAACAAACAGGGCGGTCAACACTTGGAGCTTGGATTTCCCAGACCACAAGCTGACCACTCCTCAGCCTCTTCCAGGAAGCCGGTGTGTCCACAGTCACGTCCTACACAGTGGCACCCATCCGCTGACCTCCTCACTCATCAGGGCGTGCCGGCAGTGGGAGCGGTCCCCAAAGGAGCGTATAAAGCACCCGTGGACCCTGGGCATCCACGCTGGGACGAGCACACACGCACACCCTCTGTCCCCAGACCTCCCCCTCACCCGCCCGGCCCAGCACCCCCAGGGGCGCGCACCTGGCCGCCTCCCGGCAAGGACACACCCCGGGGGGAGGAGCTGCCGTCGCGGTGGGGCCCAGCCCACACCGGCTGCGAGCTCCCTTTCCGCTTCTTCGCTTGCCCCGGGGGATCGACATGGCCCAGGAGCGTCCCAGCACCGCCCTGGAGCCCCAGCACGTCCAGCGGTTGCTGCTGTCCTGCCAAGAGGCCAAGAAGTCCGCTTACTGCCCCTACAGCCGCTTCCCCGTGGGGGCCGCTCTCCTCACCGGGGACGGCACGATCTTCTCGGGTAAGCGCGGCGCCTGGGGGTCCCCTCCGCGGCAGCCTGGGCGGGAGGTCAGAGGAGGACGCAGACGGGCGACAGGGGCGCTCCGTCTCCCCTCTCCGGGGGGCAAGGCCGCCACACCCCCCGGCCCTGCCTGCCGTTCAGACGGCCAGGATGAATACACTGCTCAAGCCCCAAGGCTTTCCATTCCTGGGGGGCCCAGGAAGCGGAGGCCAGATGGGGAAGGAAAGGGGGAAGGGGAGGCCACAAATGCAGAGCCTCGGGCAGCTCCCGCTGGAGCCGGGAGGGAGAGGGTTAACACTTCCTGAGCCCCGCCTCTGTGTCTGGCACCGGCAAAGACTTCACCGCTACATCAGCAAGTCCTCACCACCCCCACCCCCCACCCATCAACCTAGGAGTTATGCCCATTTTTTCTAGTGAAGAACCTGAGGCCCAGAGAGGTGACATGGCTTGCTCGAGGTCTCACGGGTTTCGGTGACCAGGGCTAAGGGCGCCCCAAACCCTCCTTTCTTCCTGTCACCCACCACCCAGGGGGCTGGCTGGGCGTGAGATTGAGGAATCTGGGGCTGACTCCTTAGTCGAGCGTGGGCCTTGCAGAAAAAAGGGGCCAGGTGGGCTTCGGGTGGCCAGTATTGAGTGCCCACCTGGGGAGAGAGAGACAGGAATCTGAGCCGGCACTAATCTGTTCCTAAGCGACTTTTCTTTGGTTTGCTGGCTTCATAGAATATAGCTCACTTGAACAATAATTCAGACTTGTTTTTGCTAAGCTTAGGGACATCCCCTTTAATGACAGTGGGGAACAGGGCGTGGAGGTGGCGCAAAAGCAGAAAGGCCAATTGCCCCTCCCCCCCCATTCCCACCGCTGCCCCACGCAGATGAGAACTGGTCCAGACGGATAGATGCGAATCCCCAGTCCTGCCCAGTCCTGCCGCCCAGAATCCCCCTTCCACCTGGCCGCAGCCATTTGAAGGACCTGAGGCTCACAAGTGTACATCTCATTGATGGCCCACACCCACCCCAAGCATCCCCAGGTCAAATGCGAGCCCCTCCCCCCCACTATTCAGCTGGGAGTCCGGCTGGAGACCCACACCTCCCTCTATGGTGGCCCTTCTGGGCTGTCCTTGATGTTCATCTCATCCCTTGTCTTTTGAGACTGGAACTTAGAGTTTCTCTGACTCCCAAGTTTGCTTTCCTGTGGGGGATACAAAAATCTCTGTGAGTATCATGGGGAAATTCAGGCCTGGCCCAGTGGCTCAGATGCACATTAAACATTAACCGATACCTCAAACAACACTGCGACCCACAGGCTCAGGGCCTTGAACACGCAATCCGCTATTGATTCCTCCAGCACCTCCATATCCCCTCCGGATGGTGTACAGAGAGGGGCCCTCCCCATCCTTGCATTGATCTATTCATTCAACACATGTTTGCCAAGCACCAATTATGTGCTAGGTAATTTATCAGGTGCTGGAGATGCCGCTGAGAGCAGAAATGACAGTCCCTGCCCCCACGGAGGTCTCCGCTCCTCTTGCACAGGCCATGGCTCCAAGTGGGAGCCTCAGCCAATGATTGTAGGAGAGAACTGATGAAGTGAGCAGAGGTGTGACCTGTGTAAATGGCAGGGAAGGACCTGGCGTCACCAGGAAAAGGGGCATGGAAGCATTATGGGAGGGGGTAGGGGCCCTGGAGGAGTTAGAGCCTCCTGGGTTTGCATCCCGGCACTGCTGTTTCTTGGCTGTGTGTGGCCCTGGGCTAACCCTCCTGAGTCTCAGCTTACACATCTGTAAATGGAGGATCACAGTGCCCGCCTTCCAGGATGGCTGTCAGCAGAGCTGGTGTTCCCGGCCCAGAGTCCTCCCCATGGGTGGTGCCCCTGCTGCCTCAGTCATGAAAGATGTCTAATGTCACCCCTGAGTGTGAAGCTTTCCATGAGCGTATGCCTTTAAAGGGGCAGAAGTGCTTAGCACACAGTTTCTGGCCCACAATAGGACTGTCACCACTAGTGACTGCTTCTACTACTACTAATTATTGGCATGATGATGTTGGTTTAGAGGCAGATTGTGGAGGACTTTTGAAGGCCAAGTGGAAACAGTGAGATTTGATGAGGTAGAAAGTAGGGAGCCAAAAAAAAAAAAACAAAGTATGGAGCCAAGAAAAGTAACATGAAAGTGGGGTTTGAGGACAGTGTGTCTGACAAGTACTCAAGCAAGACCGGGGCAGAGGAAAGAGCATTAAGGGGGTGATGTCTGTCTTGCCCACTGACCGCATGTTGCCTGGCCTATAGTTCAGGTTCGTTGAATGTTTGAAAGAGTGGTTTGGCCTACGTCACTGGCAAGTGGGGTGAAGAGGAAGGAATTATCTGGGAGGGTTGTACAGGACAGATGGACTAGACCTTTTATATGAGAATAAAAGGAAAGAATATAATTCTAGGGTTTCTAGACAGGGAGACCAGGGGAAGGATGAGACAGAGTTGGATGGTGCTGGGGACATCATGGGCAGGGACCAACAGTCATATTAATAACCACAATGGATTAAGCCTTCTCTAATCACTTCTATGGGGCTTCCCAGGTGGCTTAGGGGTAAAGAATCTGCCTGCCAATGCAGGAGATGCAGGAGAGGTGGGTTCGATCCCTGGGTCAGGAAGATCCCTAGAGGAGGAAATGGCAACTCACTCCGGTATTCTTGCCTGGAAAATCCCATGGACAGAGGAGCCTGGTGGGCTACAGTCCATGGGGTCGCAAAAAGTCAGACACAACTAAGTGACTGAGCGCGCACACACACTTACACACAAACACTTCTATGAGAGATCTTTTTAACTTCAGAGCCACCACATGAGAGGAGACAGTGAGTGTCACATGCATTAGAGCACTTCATGTGGCAAATGCCAGAAACCAACCAGAACCATAATAGGTGAAAGTAGATCTTGCCTCAGGGACAGCTGCATCCAGGAACTCCGACGCCACCATGTTCTTCTTTATCCTGGATGCTGGTTCCTTTCTCTCACCCAAAGGTGGGCTTTCCCCAGGCATCAGGGAACATGAGCACAGGTATCCCTAGTTTACATTCTTCCAGCCTTAAAAGCAGAGAGGGAAGAACGCTTTCCCACTAGCTCAAGATGGAAAAATTCCAGGGAAAGGCTCTGATTGGCCCCTCTCCAGTCACATGCACATCCCTGGGCCAATCACTGTTGTCACAGTGGGGTAGTATCTGGGTCCAGCTGATTCATACACACGTTCCTCCTCGATGAAGGGAGGGTGGTCTGTCACCACAAGGAGTGTGGAGGTAACAAGCAGACCTAACCAGGAGCCAAACGCACGTTTACAAATGGGATCACTGAGGATCAGTTTTATCTGCTTCCAAATTCCTTGCTCTTTCTGCTGCCCCTCACTGCAGCATGGATATGCAGGAGGAGGCAGAGAGAACTGTGCTGAGGAGAGGGGACCGATGGAGGCCCTTTACCAGAACCCCTGGGTCTCCTTACTTAGAAGGAAAGGAGGGCAGATGGCAGGAAGGCCAGACTTGGAGAGGAGGGGAGAGGAAACCTGATAGGGCATCAGAGGGTGAATCGGAGATGATTAGGAGACAGACGCTGAAGATGAAGCTCCAATACTTTGGCCCCCTGATGCGAAGAGCTGACTCTTTGGAAAAGACCCTGATGCTGGGAAAGAATGAGGGCAGGAGGAGATGAGATGGTTGGATGGCATCACCGACTCGATGGACATGAACTTGAGCAAGCTCTGGGAGTTGGTGATGGACAGGGAAGCCTGGTGTGCTGCAGTCCATGGGGTCGTAAAGAGTCGGACAGGGCTGAGCGACTGAACTGATAAGACAGGGCACAGCTGAACTCAGGCACTGTGAGTTTATAGCTCAAAGCACGATGGGTCAGCCCAGTTCTGTGACTTTCTCCAGCCTCACAAAAGACTAGCCCTCCATGGAGTTATCACCCTTAGGGGCAGCTGGTGTCTTGGCCAACTCAAAAGCAAGTCTGACAGCCTTGCCGTCACGATCTCGTCATAATGGTTTTATTTCCTCCTTCACCCCTGACGCCGGCCAGGGCCTTGTGCCCCTTGGAGCTGGGCCACCGGGGTGGTAATTACTAACTCCAACAACTACCTTCTGTGGTTGCTGTGGGGCGAGGAGAAGGGGAGGTGATCGTGGGGGAGAGAGAGCTGCTGGGGGACTGGGGCAGCGAGGACCCCGAGAAGAGTTAGGATGGGACACAAGGGGGTGAGGCTGGAGTCAGCCAGGGCCGCCCCCAGTTGGTGCTCAGCAGGCATCTGTGGCCGGCCAGGTGGGAGGGGCTGGGGGAGACTCACGGAGGACCCCCCCCCCCCGCTGGCACCACCCAAGAGCTGGGGGTTTCCTCTTCAGCTCGTGCTCTTGGGATGATGGCCCGCCCCTCCCCGTCCTCCTCTCTCAGAGCGATTGTAGCACTCTATATGCTTCATTGCCATGGATGGGCGGGGGGAGGTCATGGAGTCACTGTACTGGATCAGCTGTAATTAATTTGGGAGGGAAAAACCATATTTAAAAAAGAAAAAAAACTTAAGGACATTCTGGTTAACTGCTGAATGCAGCCTGTCTTGACTTGACCTTTAAACCTGACCCTTCATCTGTCTTCCCCCGTCCCGTCCCCGCCCTCCCGACTCCCTCCCCGGGCTCCCTTTCTCTCTCAGGACCACTCTTTATGCTTGCTTCATACAGCCCTGCTCCGCAGGCCTCCGGGTTCCCTAACCCGCTTTCTCTCCGGATAGCCCCGCCCCCATCCGAGCTTCATCACTGGTCCTCTCCACTGTCGCTCAAAAGCGGCTTATCACAGAGCCGGGCTTCTAACACCCCTCAGCTCTCCGGGTGAGTTAGGATGGAATTCATTAGCGAAACTGCCGCGTTGCATTTGCCGTGGGCAGGGAGGCGGGAACACGGAGAGAGGGGAGTGTTCACGCACGTGGCCGTGGCATTTGTCTTGTCCCGTGGTTCTTACGCGTGGTCCCAGACTCACAGCC